GAGTTAAATCTACTACTAGAGAGCAACCAGGAGCCTGAGAAGATTGCTGTAAATGGGGCTGATTAGTAGACAAAGATATTGACTCACTAGTAGGACAATTGTTCTTAAAACAGGTGAAGTCAACTCAAGAGGACAAGTGGATGGAGATGTGTTTAGTGTAGTGGAGGTTGAATCTATAACAATTGTATCAGAAGAAGTAGAACCTGAGGTATTGGAGATATCTATAGGAACAGAAGTATTATGTGATGAGGATAACGGAGAAACAAAATTAATGTTAGAGCTACAACGAATATTAGAAGTAAAGTTAAGTGCTAAGATTGAAGTATAGACTGACTTACCAACTGTTGGAGTGGGACGTGGATCAGAGCTAGCCACTACAGGAGGGACTTTGCTACTTATATCAGGTGTGGATTGAACAGAAATAAAAGGGACGCTAGGAGTAGGAGAGTTGGTATCTGGTGAATTAAGTGAGGGAATAGTAGAGTGAGAGGGCTTTGATAAAGACTGATCAGATTTAGTGGCAAAAGGAAACTCTTTTTCATTGAATTGAACATTAGGAGTGATAAAAGTTTTACCTTAAGAAGTTAAACACTCATAGCCTTTATGCACTAAGCTATACCCAACAAAAGTGCATTTGGATGAATGAAAACTGAGTTTATGTTTGTTAAAGTCTCTCAGGAAAGGAAAACAAGTGCAACCAAAAGTTTTAAGCTCAGAATATACTGGTGATCTTTTGAAAAGAACTTGATAAGGTGAGATGAAGTTTAAAACAGAAGTGGGCCTTCTATTAATCAAGAAAACAACAGTGTCAAATGCAAACCACCGTAATTGCAATGGCATAGAAGCATGAGCAAGTAAAGACATATATTAATACATATAATATGATTTATGTGATATAGTAGAATATGTATTTTATTGATATATAAACATTTATTATAGAATCAATTTTACAATAATTGATTGGCTCTAGGGCACCTATTCTAACAGCAACATGTGCATTGTATTGCCATGTTGAGAGAGTTGAGGATTGTGGAATAAATTAAGTTTAAATTTGCCTACTTGATCCAGTTGAAGATGTACCAGGTAGCTTTCTTCTCCAAATGTCATCGCATCGTTGAAGTCCCCTTCTCAGCGCCAATAGTTCCACAGAAATTACATACCCCACATAATTCTTCACCCTCCCCATTTGTCTTTAGTCGTTTTAATTTAGTGAAGTGTCGTCATATATCGGACACGACCCTCTTTGACGGTTAGGGGGGTTGGGCTATGCCTCTACCCATTAACTTGCAGCTCACATGTGTTTGGCTACACCTTATCCCGGCCGAATGTGGTTGTGGAATTGCAGTTGCTACCTCTGGAGGAAAGGGTGAAAATAGATTGAACCCTTCTACTTCTTCGATGGATGGAACGTAAAACTCATTTGGGAATGATCCTTCAAATGCATCATTTCGGGAATCCATTATGAATTTATGATAAAATAATAAATAATTAAAATGAAAAAAAATTAAATAATAATATGAATAAGAAATGATATTGAAAAATAGAAAAAACTGAATAATATAAATAAATAATTTGAATAAATTATAAATATAAATATAAATTGAATGAGAATTTGATTGGAGATTTGGAGTAGAGAGTAGAGAGACTGAGAGAATGAGGATTTAGTAGTGTGGAAAAAAATAAAAGATTTGAGGGTTATTTATAGTGTAGTTGTCTTTTCATTCCTTCCCCTCCCCCCTCCCCCCCCTTCTTTTACTTTTACTACTATATCGGGAGTTACTCCACGTATTGCTTGACGTAAAACAGATAGTGGTTAAACACATTTTTTTATTTTAAAATTTATATTTTAACCCTATAATTTATGTTTATTTCAAAATTTATAGGAAGTTTTATGTAATTATACAAGGAATTAAATAGAAAAAATTAAAATGGTTTGGGCCTAGACTTGGGACCGATCCCAAGCCTGGGCCTTGGAGGAGGGCCCAACGGAGGGACTGAGCCCTCCTCCTTAGGTTCAGCTCTATTTAAAGATGTGTTAGATATTGTAGCATTCATTTTGTCATTGTTTTAATATATCATTTAATTAATTGTTACAAATATAAATTACTTTGCCATGTTTGGAGGACATTTTGTCAACTATTAAATGGAATAGCGAATGAATGATTCCTTTGGATTTGACAATTTTTTGTTTTTGTCTTCACAAGTGAATCAATGGTTTTGACTTTTAAGATAAATTTTATGATTACTACTTAATTAAAGTCTTATTAGGAGTGTTTTTTTTCTGTGTTCAAAATTTTATATTTACTATTTCATTTTAAAATTTAACATTTTTGTCTCTCTTATAGAAAATAAAGGAGTTACCTTTCAAAGTTTTTTTTTTTCATAATATCATTCAAAACTATAAATAGTATTAATATAATCATTCTCTAAATGTAAATGCCATAAATCTAAAGAAATTACTACTTAGTAATATTTAGATATATTATATATTAATTGCCAAATCTAAAAATATTTGAAAATAACAAAGTAAAATATACTCGCGCAACGTGCGGGTTTTAATCCTATTTACATAAATACTATCACATTAAATTCAATAACAATTCATAAAAAACAATAAATTATCAACAAACTTATTTACTAATTATATTTTACCACATGAAAAACAACAATAATTAAAATAAAATTCTATAAACATATGCATTATGAGAATAGGAAATTTGGACCAATAGAACATTTTGTACAATTAATTAGTAGATCTCAACCAATTGTAACATCCAATTATTCAAACAAACATGGTGTCAAAACAACTTTCTTAAGTAACCCGTGTAACGCACAGGACTTTCAATTAGTTTCAATATACATTTAATAGTCAATTAACCTTCTATTAAGTCAAAGGACTAAAGCAGTAATATTTTTAAATGAGAAGGACCAAAACATGATATATGAAATGATCTATGTACAATATTTCTATAGTTTGATTTAGGGTTTCTTTTCAAGTATTCGCTATTGTTATGCTGAAAATAGTGAGATTGTGTGTATTCAAGTATCTTAGAGGGGTCATTTGGATCGGGGGTATATAAGATAACGGAGGTAATCTTCGTTTATTTTGCAAGATTTTGGTGTTTGGTTTGCAAGTAATAAAATATTACGGTAATCTTTTATTGTAAATAGTGTTTATTGTTGGTAATGTGGCGAGTAATCTTATTACTTTGTTGAGAGGTGTTATTAAAACATTACCAGGATAATCTGATTTTTCTACCTATTTTGCCCTTGATTAAAAACTATTTCAAACATAATTGTCTTCAAATGTCTACCAAATAACAATTATTCAGCCCCTTACCTTTGAGAAATTAGCTAAAACACCCCAGCCATAAAAAAGTTTAAAAGTTAACAAAATACTTTCAACTACCCAAGACCACTGCTGGTTGTGACTCACCATTGCCGACCGTCGGCGTCAATCATCGTAATGGTGTACGACCGACGACATCTAGTTGGTTATGCACTAATAAGGCAGTTTTCAGCCATGAATCATGGTCGAAAACAGCCACATTTGTGGCTATTTCACGGCTACATCTTTGCCCATGAAATGACCATAGATCTGGCTGTTTTTTGCCATGGATTTGTGATCCATAGCCATTTCTGGCGTTGCAAGTGCACGATCGGCCATATATGACCAATCGTGCTTCCTTCCATTGCTAGCGGTGGTCGGCAGTGGTGGCTGGTTGCCGATAGTGGTTTGGGGTAGGTGGGAGTGATTTTGCTACAAATTAAAGTTTTATATGGCTGGGGTGTTTTAGCAAAATTTTAAATGTAGTGGGTTAAAAGAAATGATTCAAAAAATAATAATAAAAAATACTATTATATTAATATTTTAAAAGGAGGACAATTTAGTAATCTATGTAACATACCCACCCATTTATACTCCCCACTAGGGGTGTACCTGAGCTACTTAAGTGCCTTTTCAAGTCGAGCCCGAGCCACCCAATACTCGGCTCGATAGGCTCGTGAGCCTCCATGGCTTGAAAGGGTATGAGTGTAAGTTTTTTAAATATAAGGTGTAAGTTTTTCAAAGTATAAGGGTGTATATGCAATTTATTATTTTATATATAAATTGTTTATTCTAAAAACCCTAACACATTTTTCATCACAGTCACACTTCTTCTCCTTTCTTTTCTCTTTCCTTTTTCTTCTCCTTTCCTTCTTCTTTCCCTTTCCTTTCTCTTTCCTTCTTCTTTCCTTTAGCTCTTCTACCTCAAATCTATGGCATGACAAATCTTGTCTCACTCTCCCTTCTCCAAGCTACTTTTTCTTCTCCAAAAATGAGGCTGTGAGATTTTGTTCTTATGCTTGCTCGGTTTTTATTGCTTTTACATTATCATTAAGGTTTCAATCTGGTGGCTTAGCTTTGAATTTTTTCTTTTTTCTTAAAAGATTGTTGGTGGATTGCTTTAGATTAAAGCCTGTTAAACAAGCCGAGCTTGAGCCGAGCTTCGAGCTCAACAAATCATCTCGAGCCGAGCTTCGAGCCTGATTTCTAGAGCTCGTCGAACCCAAGCTCGAGCTCAAGTTCGCTAAATTTTCTCGAGCTGAGTTTCGAATCCCATAGTGTTCGGCTCGGCTCCGCTCGTATACAACCATACTCCCAAACAAACATATCATACACCAATTTATTTGAACTAACTAAACACATTTTCTACACATTCACAATAATATTCAAGATGATCTTTCTTTCCGTTAATATAATTTTTTCCTATAATAAAATATTATATGATCCAATTGCTCCCACATGATTTTGTTTCCTCAAATCATACATAGACATATGGACATTTGGAATCGGATCCGGTTTTTGGACAAAGAATATTCGCTTATCACGCAAGCCCTAGCTGGCAGATTAAACATTTGAAATCTAATCACCACCGCTCCTTTAAACTTTTTGGTTCAGATTAAACTTTTTAGCCGACAGTTAAAGAAAAACAAGGAAAGTGCTAAGAAACAACCAACCACTCATTGACCCTAATTCCTATATATACACTGAAAAATTGCTCAAATTTTATCGCTTAAAAACTTACATATTGATTTAATTAGGCTCATTTTTAAGGAAAGAGATGGAAGCAATATCCATTGGATCTGATCCTAATCTTTATTTTCAAGTAAGTATTTGTTTTCTCATTCATGTTAAATCGTTTTCAATTTCCACTTCTCCACAAAATTTTCTCTCTCTGATGTCTGTGTAATTTATGTAGGTGGTCAAGGAAAAAATTAGTGAGGGAATGAAGGGTTTGCAAGATTTAGTAGTATGCTACAAGGACAACTTGATCCCAGAAAGTGCTGGAGTGGTTAATGAAATCATGGCCTATCTTCAATCTCTTCAACGACAAGCACAGGTATCATTAATACTAACATGTTTATTCGTCTTCAGGTTCTTTTATTAATCTTTGTTTACCGTCTATAAGTTTCTTCCTCTTTAATTAACTTTTCTGATCTTCTGATCATCACACTAACATGTTTATCTAGAGTTTCCGGTTGTCGGAATGGGCCGCCGGCCGCTGGAATTTGATGGCCAGAAAAGTTTTAGCAAGTCTAGGTAACGATATAGTATCATAATGATCGTTTCGGAAATATCTATCTAGTCTTATATTTTTTAAAGCAATCGATGCCGCGTTTTGCCGGGATCTGACTGGGAAAGTTTCGAGCGAAACTTTTCGAGTCAGATCTTGGCTAAACGCCACATGTATGGCCGTTGAAAGTTACATGGATATATAGAATTATTAGAAATAATCATTTTGGAACAAGAATTGTTATCAAAAATTGCCTGATAACTTTCCGATCACTGGATTCCTCGGGTCGGATTCTGACGTCCAATTGCTGGATTTCTTTCTTTTTTCATGTTAATATCATCCAAATGACATATTTTCTTATTTTCTTGTTACCATTACAATTATGAAGGAGATTGAATCTTTAACACAACAGAGAGAAGCACCTTTATCTTCCAATATCAGTGGAGCAGATCTGCACCATGAACAGGTACCCTTTCTCTCTCTACATATATATAGAAAAGAGATTAAAGTCGGTGATCGGAGAAGCAGTTTCCATCTTATGCAATTAAATATTTTGTTTATTTTTAGCTGTTAGTTTTGCAAAAGTTTAGCAGGATAGAGATGAAATTTCCTTATTATTGCTGGTAGATATCTTAAGAACATAATTTTTCTCTATTATAACACAATCATGTACGATAGTCTTATTTATAAGCCTCAATTTAAATATTTATTCAGAATTCCTTTGAATCCTTGACCAATGTAATCTCTTTCATTGAGATCTATTAAATTTTCCTTTTATCGCTTATAACAGGACATCACTCAAATTAGAGAACAAAGTACCAATTTGGGACCTACTCTGAATCAAGAGATTGAAGTGTTGATGAAACTAAATATAGAGAACACATCAAGTGCTAAAAGAAGAAAGTTGACATCAGTTGTTTGGGAGCACTTCATAAAGTATGTAGGAAGTAATGGGAAGGAATATGGCTAGATGTAAATACTGTGAGAAAGACTTTATAGGTTCAAGTAAGAGTGGAACCACACATCTCAAAAATCATTTAAGAAGTTGCCCGAGTTCAAAGAATCCAGGTGTAGGTGCAGAAAAAGCAGAAAAGAAAAGTGTGATTGATCCAAAATTGAATGTCTCTGATTTGGTGCAAAAGATTATTAAGTATGGGCTAAACTGCATAAAGAATGATATACTAGATGTTTACCAACAAGAGAAGGAAAAGCTCCATAAATACTTTGATAAAATGTCATGTCGTTTTAGTGTAACAGCGGATAGGTGTTCATACAGCAAGGGTGAAGTTCTTTTTATTGCAGTCTGCTTTATTGATGACAATTGGAAATTGAAGAATAGGGTTATTGTTTTGGAGAATGAAGAAGTTTTAGAGTCTTCCACTGAAAAATTTCTGAAGCGTTCTCTTCAAGATTGGAACATAGATAAAAATATATGTGCTAAACTTGGTGCTAAAAATAGTGATGAATTTAACGAGTGGCTTACTGAAAGAGCTTCACTTCTTTTTATTTGCAACGTATTTCCAGTTTTTAAGTTTTTAGATGAACTTGAATCTTACATAGGATATGCTGGGATGAGAACAGAATGGAACAGAGATATTTTAGATAAAGCGTCGAAGATTCTGAAGTACGCCAGGACGCTATCAAATGAAAATAAGCTTCAATATGCGGTAGAAAAAGCTGTGTCCATGGGCAAAACTGTAACTGATCGAAGTGTTCCTACACTTTTGGTTAACTTCGAACTGCTTGAGTGTAACTTTGAACTGCTTGAATGGGTAATGGAATATAAAGAAGCATTTTGTGAACTGGAGCAGATAGATCCTGATTTCAAGTCTATAAATTTTATCGAAGAGGATTGGGATAAAGCAACTGCACTTTATAACTGTTGGAAAGGCATAAAAGATGCTGCTAGTAGCTTGTCTGATTGCAAATATAATACTGCAAATGTGTGTTTTCCCATCGTTTGTGACATATTTTTTAAATTGTGTCAGTGGGAAAAAAGTGACAATCGTTATGTTTTTAAGATAGCATTAGGTTTGAAAAGTTGTTTTGATGAATATTGGAGTAATTCTAACTTGCTCTTAGTAATTACGGTAATTCTTGATCCACGGTTCAAAATGGACATCATAGAGCTTTGGTACAAAATGATTTACGGTTATGATGCAGAAGCCCAGTTTAAGAAAATCCGTGATGTTGTAACTGATATTTTTAATGAATATGCAAAGGGGGCTAACAGTTTCAAATCATCATCTATTGCGGACCGTGGTGTTAGGAATTCTTCAACTCCATTCAAAATGCTAGACAGCATGGGGAGGCCATGTAAATCTTCAGAACGTATTAATGATGTTACTTTACCAACCTCAGAACTTGAACGCTATTTGGAAGATTCAAAATTCCCTGCAGTTACAGATTTTGACTTACTAGCGTGGTGGCATGTCAACTCCCCAGCTTATCCGACACTCGCAAGGATGGTGCGGGATTTCTTTGCAATACCTGTTGCTGCTCCAGTTGAATATTTAGATTCTTCCTTAGCAACTGAGATTGGAAATATTTTTTATTTTAGCAACCTAGATTATGACTTAAGGGGAGCTTTGGCTTGTACAAAGATTTGGTTGCACTATACTTCTGAAAATTAATAATAAAGTTACTGAAACAACAGTGAAAGTTCTCCTTTCTCTTTTTACTTAAATTTTGTATTTAAGCAGAGAAGATGTCCCAATTAAGGCCGAGTAGAGTTGTGTATAAAATAATGTGGCAGTTGATGTGACAATACCACATCAGCTGCCATATAACCAATTGCCACATCACTTTTGAATAATTAACTCTTTAATCCTAATTTTCTATTTCTATTTCTCCTTCTCCATTTCTTTATTTACTTTATTATTTCATATTTCAATTTCTTTATGTCTTCTTCTCCATGGCTCTTCTCCTTTCTCTGTTTACTTAAATTTAGTATTTAGAGTAATGCCAGTATTTATTTAATGGGAAAAAGGCTGAGCTCTTATGCCGAGCCAGTAACATTACTGGTTTATACTGAAGTACCAAAAGCACGGTAAAGAAACCAACTTTCCCGCGAAAAAACCAGGGCAGACCCCAACCTTAATTCTCATTAACCCTACAACTTTATCTTCCATTTCTCAGTAACTTCTCCAACTTAAGCAAATAAGCTTTGACAGGTATTTTCTGTTCTCCAATCATTATACTTTTATGTCTATGTTCTTTCATAATTTCTGTTTTTCTGAGTTGTGTTTGAATTCAAAGCTGTGGGTGCTATTGTTTTGATTAGACAAATATTTGTGCTTTCTCGAGATTTTTTTGAAGGGTTTGGTATTCACTGTAATAATGAAGTAGAAAAAAAAAATTTTAAGATTTGGATTTTTACTGATCATGTAATTTGTCTCGCATTTTCTTCAATTTATAGATTTTACTTTTGTTGGATTGTTCTTTATTCTGTTTTTTATTTGAGTTGCGAGGTATGACTTTGTCGCTTTAAAGATTAACAAATGTAATATTATTATCTTGTAATTATGAATTTCTTTATGGGCATTTATAGTTGGGTTTCAAAGACTGAAATTGTTTGTGGTTGTCCAAGCTTGGGAAATTTTTTTTGGGTGAAAATCATAGAGAACTAATAGTGTGTTTTATTACTTGTGTATTGATAAAAATTAATACATCAATATATAGGAAAATGAAGAACTTATCTAGGAAACAAATAATTTAATCTAGGAAATGAACAATCTAACTTCATATTTTACAGATTTTTTTCTTAATATATATTGATTACAATCCTAATATTCTAATATAAATTGATTACAATTTTAATATCCTAATATAGAATTATACATTTCAATATTCCCCCTCAAGTTGGAGCATATAAGTCATATGCACCAAACTTGCTATAGATAAAATCAATGCGCAGACCTCTAAGAGATTTAGTGAGGACGTCTGCTAACTAGTCATTGGAACTGACATGATTAGTGGTAATATGGAGAGCAACTTGATTATCACAGAGTAACTTCATTGTGACACTTCTACAAATTTCAACTCTTGGATCAGTTGCTTTAATTAAATGAGCTCACAAGTAGCTAAGGCCATTGCATGATATTCAGCTTCTGCACTTGACGGGCAACTACAACTTGCTTCTTGCTTTTCCAAGACACTAGGTTTGCTCTAATAAGAACACAAAAACCTGAAGTAGAACGTCTATCAGATGGAGACCATGCCTAATTAGTATCAGAATATCCAACAATATGTGAATTACCCTTGTTCTCATATAACAAGCCTTTGCCTGGTGCACCCTTTATATACCTTAAAATCCGAACAACTACATCCCAATGACTATCACATGGAGACTGTAGGAACTGACTTACAACACTAACAGAAAAGGAAATATCAGGTTGTGTGATAATGAGATAATTAAGTTTACCAACCAGTCTTCGGTATCTTCTAGGATTAGCCAACGGCTCCCCGTGTCCAGGTGAGAGCTTTACATTAGGATTCATAGGAGAGTCTATTGGTCTGCAATCTAACATTCCTGTCTCTTCAAGAATATCTAGTGCATATTTTCTTTGAGAGATAACCATACCAGATTTGGACTGAGCAACTTCTATACCAAGGAAGTATTTAAGAAGTCCTAAATCTTTGGTCTGAAAGTGTCTGAATAAATGCTTCTTCAATTGTTCAATGCCATCTTGATCACTTTCTGTAATGACAATATCATCAACATAGACAACCAGATAGATACGTTGTCCTAGTGATGTATGTCTATAAAAGACAATGATCAGACTTGCACCGAATCATACCAAACTCTTGGATAACAGTACTGAATTGTCCAAACCAAGCATGAGGAGACTATTTCAAACCATATAGAGAACGATGAAGTTTGCATACCAAGGCAGACTCCCCCTTAGCAATAAACCCAGGATGTTGCTCCATATAAATATCTTCTTAAAGTTCACCATGAAGAAAGACATTCTTAATATCCAATTGATGTAGAGGCCAATGTTGAATTGCAACCATTGCTAAGAATAAGTGGACAGAAGACATCTTAGCAACCGTGGAAAAAGTATCAAAATAATCCATTCCATATATCTGAGTGTAGCCCTTGGCAACTAATCGGGCCTTTAAGCGATCAACTTGACCATCAGGACCAACTTTGACCATATAAATCCAGCGACACCCAACAGTCGAATGTCTTGGAGGTAATGGAACTAACTCCCATGTGTGATTATGATGCAAAGCAATCATCTCATCAACCATCGCTTGACGCGATCCAGGATCAAAGAGTGCCTCATGAACATTTGAAGGGATAGAAATAGAAGAAAGTGTGGACACAAATGCATAATATGATGAAGATAAACGATGATAACTTAAAAAATTATAGATCAAATGAGGGTTGCAAGTAGACCACATACCTTTACGAATGGCAATGGGAAACTGATCATCAGGAGAGAAGACCGTGGCATTGGAGGAATCAGGAGTAAGACTACCATCAACAAGAGCCTCAGGAACACTAGTCGGATTAGGAGTAGTACTTGTAAATGGAACGAGACTATGGTCTGTAATGGGAGACTCGATAATAGAAGATTGTGGGGCTATGACAAACTCAGGAAGATTGGTAATGTATGGAATGGGAAGGACTGTGAATATTGACTCACAATCTAAGGTAGAAGGAGAAAAGAATGGAGACAACTCAAAAAACGTAACATTAGTAGAGAGAAAATATCGATGTGTTGATGGAGAATAACACTTATATCCTTTTTGAAGACGTGAATACCATAAGAAAATACACTTAGTAGATTTGGCTGCCAGTTTGTCCTAGCCAGGAAGGAAAACATGGAAAAAGCATGTGCACCCAAAGACACGAGGAGGGATAGAATATAACGATTGATCAGGAAATAAAATGGAATAAGGTACCTTGTCTTTGATGACAGAAGAAAGCATCTGATTTATTAAGAAACAAGCAGTCAAAATAACGTCCGCCCAAAAACGGGAAGGGACTTTATTATGTAAAGGTAGGGTACAAACAGTTTCAATGAGATGTCTATTTTTACGCTCTGCAACCCCATTTTGTTGTGGGGTATAAGCACAAGAGGACTGATGAAGGATTCCATGAGAAGACATGAATTTAGTAAAGGGATTAGAGAAATACTCGCGAGCATTATCACTACATAATACTCGAATAATATAATTAAATTGAGTCTTAATTTTAGCACAAAAAGATTCAAAGATGGAAAATAACTCGGAACGAGTTTTTATTAGGAATAACCAAGTGCAGCATAAGTAATCATTAATAAAGGTAACAAAGTACTAAAAACCTGAAATAGATGACACACGACAAGGTCCCCACACATTTGAATGAACTAACTCAAAAGGGGACGCAACCCATTTATTGACACTCTTTGGAAAGGTGCTACGAGAATGTTTTTCAAGTAGACATGACTCACAATTTAAAGACGATAAATTAGAAAGACCAGGATGCATCTTTTTAAGCTTTACTAAACTGGGATGACCCAAACGATTATGAAGGAGAGCTGGAGATTCAGAGGCAGTGCATGCTATAGATGGTAGATGGAGATGATAGAGGCCCTGTGACTTATGTCCTGCGCCAATCATCCGTCCCGTGCCTCAATCTTGTATAACAACAGAGTCAGTATCAAAAGATATAGAATAATTTAAAGAGTGGGTAAGTTTACTGACAGGCACAATATTAAATGGACAATTGGCAATATAGAGAACATAGTCTAATTTTAAGGATGGAAATGGTTTGGCATGACCTACAGCTTTAACAATAGCTTTGGAGCCATTGGCTAAAGTAACGGAGGGTAAAGATGCAACATTAGTTAAATGAGAAAGTAATTGAGGGTTACCAGAAATGTGATCAGAGGCACCCGAGTCAAGAACCCAAGGTCCAAGAGAAGAAGATTGAGTAAGACATACAACTGAATTACCCGATTAAGCAATAGAGGCAATAGATGAAGAAGATTGCTTATTTGCCTGAAATTGGAGGTATTCTTCATAATCAGCCCCAATGAGAGTTAATAATGGTTGAGTGTGTCCTCCAGAAGAGTCAGAACAAAAGTTAGCTTGAGCAACATTAGCGGTCCGAGTAGGGCAACCATGTAATTTGTAACATTTTTCCCTGTTATGCCCCCAACAATGATAGTAACTACATTTGGGTCGTCCGCTTCAACCACGAGCTCCCAACTCTCCTTTATAAGTTGTTTGAGACTGGGAAGCCAGAGCAGAAGAGTCAACAATGGTAGAATTGGGGATAGTACTTGGGGATGAAACCCGAACTAACCTAGCAAATATTTCATCAAGAGATGACATAGTAGCGCTAGCTAAAATTTGATCTCGTACATGAGTGAGATCAGGACTAATAGCAACAAGGGTTAAAACCATGAAGATTTTGTCTCGTTGTGCTAGATCTTCTGCAGCAAATTTACTAGCGGGTAGGAGAAGATTGTACTCTGCCTTAAGGGAGGCCGTCTTACTAAGAAAATCTGACATACTTAGGGGTGTTATCGAGCCGAGCCGAGCCGAGTTTTCGGCTTAACAAGCTCGGCTCGAGAGAGAAGAAAATTAAACGAGCCGAGACCGAGCTGAGCCAAGCCAAAAATTATATGGCTCGGCTCGGCTCGGTAATATATTTAATATATTTCGCGAGCCGGCTAATCGAGCCGAGTT